AAGAGGGACGTTTATAGCTGTACCTGTCCACATCAGAAAAACAGAGTGACCCCAAATAACCTAATGATGCACTTCAAGGTCCTAGAAAAAGAAGAACAATCCCAATCTAAAGCTACTACAAGTAAGGCAATTATAAAGATCAGAGGAGAAATTAATAAAATTGAGACTAAAAACACAATATAATGAATCAATGAATTGAAGAACTCCTTCCTCAAAATAAAATAAAACCCTAGCCAATCTTACCCCCACCAAAAGAAATGAAAGATCCAAATCAATGCAATTACAAATGAAAAAGGGATATCCCAGCACTCAGGATGCTGATGTAGGAGGATCACCACAAGCTCAAAACCAGCCCAAACTATATAGCAAGACAGAGGACTAATTTCTGGAAGATATAAAGAACACAAAAAAATTAGTTTCGCCCAAAAAGACCCATTCAAAAAATGAGCAACTGAAGTGAATAGACACTCCTCAGAAGAAGTACCAGAAGCCAATAAGTACATGAAAAAATGTTCAACATCTCTGGCCATTAGAGAAATGCAAAATAAAACAATTCCAAAATACCATCTTACTCCAGAAAGAACAACTATCATCAAATTTCTGGTGTCTTAAAGCAACTTTCATATATGTGTCAGCAGCATTTCACCTACAAAATTTGAGTCTGAAGGGCTTTGTAATTAATACTGATAAATGTTTTAATCTACTCTGCCTTTTCTGTTCATTCCTGTTTTTGTGTGGATGTATGTTTGGAGGAGAGTTCTTAATTCGGGACATATGTCCCTGTCTCTCCTCACCCCACAGACTCACAAAACAGAGTCTTAGGTACCTGAGCTTTAGATGCTATTCCAAACTGAGCTACACCCCTCCTCCTTAGTCTGGAATTCTCAAACACAAGACTGAAGCCTCACTGGGAATTCAGCTCCACGGAGAAAAGACTCTTTCTGATTTGTTGGAAGGAAAGAGGAAGCTTTGCAAATTCTCTCCTTAGGAAGCTGCAGCTTAATTTAGGATCTAGATTCCAAATGCTCAATAAGAAAGACATCAGCCTTCAGGATCAAATAAATTTAAGTTTGCAATTATCAACCTCATTACCAACCCACAAGATACTGATATTTCTGCAAAACTCCAGTTTCTGTCTAAGCCCATCCCTCTACAAGTCTGACTTACACTGATCCCAAATTTCTGAATGCTAAATAATAACATTTAGCATTCACTCTTCTTAAGCAAAGGGCCTTTTCTACAACCTGGTCCATCTCATTTCTGGTACTACCTGAACTGGACAAAATCATAACTCATGGTTGCTAGGGAAGTTAGGGCTCTGATCACAGAAGCGGAATGCTTCAGTCCCACTCAGTCGAGGCCTAGATAAAAGAAATAAACTTTATTACCACCTTTCTCACATACAGTATAGACAGGTAGTATTTTCAACGTGAACCCAAAGCTTGTCGGTTTCTCTGAAAACAATTTTCCCCCCTTTAGGTTATTTATGCTGTGATAATACCATAAAGAGAATATTTAAATGTAATATTAAAGAAATATTCAAAAGAAAAAATAATAACAAATGTCGGTAACGCTGCAGGGAAAAGGAGATACTTCTATATTGTTGGTGGGAATGTAAACTAGTAGTACAAACCACTATGGAAATTAGTATGGGGATTCCTCAAAAAACTAAAAATAGAAATTCCATTCAACTTAGTTATTCCCCTTCTATCTTCCCAAAAGTGTTAAAAGACACTATATTACAAAGATACATGCATATTCTTTTTTTTTTTTCCATACTCATGTTTGTTTTTTGCGGGGAGAGGGTGTTTTTTGTTTTACAGTGAACCAGGTTAAAATTTATTAAGACGGGGATGAGCTGGGGATGGAAAGTTCGAGGAAAGGGATGGGGATGTAACTCTATGGTAGAGCGGCCCTGGGTGTGATGCCCAGTACTCCCACAAACAGACATATTCACGTGTATGTGGAGATATTTATAAAGCTAGGCATGGCAGTACACTCAGGAAACTGACTAATATAGAAGGATCATGAACTGGAGGCCAGCCTGCACTACATAGCAAGATCTTGTCCCCCAAAAAAGAAAGGATATACATTTTTGTAAATGGGGGGGGGGGCATACTGCAAAAGGAAAAAGAATAAACACTGTCATACACTGATGAAGGCAACAAAACAATAGACCCTCAACTTCAGTATCCCACAATACACACAGTGGTTACTTGGTAGCCACTGAACAGGCAGTTTACTGCTTAGTAACTTAGCTACACATAAAGTGGACAAACTTGACATCCCAGAGTAAGATGCACAAAATTTTCATATGCTATATGTTTTGCTGATTCTCAATATGTAACATAATTAACTCAAAAACTGTAAATTTCTTCACGATAATCCCACAGTCCCAAGTTGAGAAGCCTTTGCTCTGCCTGTCGGTCCCCCTTCACACTCTGGGATCAGGGAAATGCTCTACAAGCAACCTTTGGTCCACATATTATCCGGGATTCCTGATCTTAGCATCCATGCCCGATAATGATACCGTGTACACCCACTCTGGCCCCAACTGTCAGTGCTTAACCCGAAGGCAGGAGCCTCACCTCAGGTGTTCCACAACCTCCGGGCGGATGGCCAGGGCACCCAGTCCCTGCTCTAGGACTGCCCGCAAATTCGTTCCCGTCATCCTGCCCCATATTCACGTTTATAGAAGCACAATTCATAATAGCTAAATCTTGGAAGCAGAGTACATGTCTATCAACAGATGAATAGATAAACAAAATGTGGTATTTATACACATTGGAGTATTACTCTACTATAAAGAGTGATAAATTTGAGTCATTTGTAGGAAAATGGATGCACTTTGAGATCATAATATTAAGTGAAATAAATCAGATATACAAGCTTAAATATCACAAAGTTTCTCTTATATGAGAAACTAAAAGTATAAATAAATTAGAAAAATAAAAAATAACAGGAAACATGGAGATGCATCTTTTGCAAATGGAATGGGGACCAAGAAATGGAGGGAGGGCTTGTGGGGGGAGAAAAGGGACATAAAAAGAACTAAGAAGTGCTATGTATACTTACAAATTCTCCATGATGAATGTAATTATTGTGTACTGCAAATATGTACTAGTAAAAATAAAAATTGAAAAACAAAAACAAATAGAATATTTGAGGCCCAGGATTCAATCCCCAGTACCACAAAAATTAAAAATTAGTGAAAACTAAAAAAAAAAAATCCTACCTGAAATAGAGAAAATAGACTAGCACCTTCAGCAGCAGTGCTTTTCTAATTTTATTGTATTATTTCCATGACCCAAGTTGCCAGAGATTCTGATTTTAGAACTCAAAGTTCTGCGTCTTAACAAGCATCCCTGATGACTGTAATGAAACTGATCTTTGAAACACTTTGACAAATATCCTTTTATATATTCCTTCTACCCTCAAATATGTTCAATAATTAAATCACACCTTACCACCATTCCCATGGAGAGCATCAACACTATCCAATCCTTTTCAACTTCTCTATTTCACTTCCTTATTCTATTCCTGCACTTAACCCACTTACTCCAAGGTACTCCAAGTATCCTCTTGCTAGCCAGTTAGGGCACCTACCATAAACATACCCAGGAAAAAACAGTTCTCAGCAAAAATTACAACCAATTTCCTTTCATCTTGTAATCGGCATGGCTGTAAATTAGGAATTTAAGGGAGGTCATATTGTTTGATTTTAGTTGTTAAAACAAGCATACAAGAAATTGCCCCAGGCATGTTGGTACACACCTCAAATCCCAGCACTTGGGAGGCTAAGGCAGAACGACTGACAAGAGTTCATGGCCAGCGTGAACCATACAGTGAGACCTTGACTCAAAAAATTAAAATAAAGTTAAAAAGAAATTAGGTTTTTTGTTTAGTTTGGTTTTGCTGGACTGAACATATTTTTTTCAAGGTAATATCAATACATTTAAGTTCTTAAAATTCAGCTTGGTAGGTGTAAAAATAGCAAAAAAAAAAAAACCCAAAAACACCTTGTAATCACTCCGAACAACCTCAGGAACAACCATGGTTTAGTATACCTATTCATATTTTTTTTCCGTAGACATACAAACACACACACACATAATGTTTCTAATATGGAGCCTGGATTGAGAATCTCTAAATTCATTCAGCCAGTCACATGAGGGAATAAAATGAAGTTAATCGAAGTCACTTAGCAGTCTGATAAAACCCACATTCTAAAAGTGTTATTATATATACAGTCACCCTTAAATGTTTGCGTTAGAAGCAAGTAAAAGCCTGATATGGTTCTAATGTTTAAATTCCAGGCTGTTTTATAACATAAACTAAGTTTCTAAAGTTTAAGAAAATCTTGGGTCTTTAAAAGAAAAGGAGTCAAACAACTATGTAACTCTTACGTTCTAAGTACAACACCAGAAGCTGAGCCATCTACGGACTAGGCGGAGTCTGGCTTCTCTGCATCAGACCCCAAACCGGGATTACAGTGTCCAAAAAAAATCAAAACTGCTAAATCCTAAGGGAAGTAAACAAGAAATCCACCGTGATGGCCATGACTGTAATTGTGGCCAATCTCGGAGCAAAAAGGTGTGAAAAAAATGGCCTTTGTGGGGATGAAAACAACACCTAATAGTTCATGAAGATCTCCCACGCACATGTATACATTACTTATTGTACAGGAATGGAATAGAAGATTTCCTCTCTAAGAATACACAGGAATAAAGTTAGGAGCAACAAAATCCTATTCCATGCAGTGCTGAAAGTGTAGTCGTGTCAGCAACAGTAGGTCCCAACGCAAAGGACGGAGACCCTCAGCTGGCCCAGGAAGCTTCCCAGGCTGGGAGCGGCAGCACCTTCCGGAGTTGTTATAGTAACCTCACAGACGCTCGGAGCGCCGCGGAGGCACCACGGAATTCACGGGCACTGTATAAACTGGACTCCCTGCTTCTTGTCCAGTAACAAAAGCACGTTTAGATTTTAATCTACAGCCTCACCTGCAATTTCTGCAAGATGTGCTCAGCTCCTTCCTCTTCATCAGCCATCGTTTCCCCAGCCACTCTTGGCTTCTCCGCCCCCAACTTTTATAACCACAGAGACTCACACTCACGCCTATCGCGGAGTCACAGCGACATCTATGGATCCGGAGGCTTACGTGCACCTGAAGGGTATTGCTCCAAACCAACCTAATTCGGTGCCTTATACAGAAATTCAAAAGCGCTCTACAATCACTTTTTTTTTTTTTTGTACCGGGGATCGAACTCGGGTCCTTGCGCTTGCGCAGCAAGCGGCGAAACCACTGAGCTAAATCCCCGGCCCTCTATAATCACTTTTGATTTCAGAAACTGCTTTCCCAGGAGCTGGGAGTGTATCTCAGTGAACAGCGCCTTCCCAGCGTGAGTGAGGGCCTGGTTCGATCCCCAACACTGCAAAAACATATACATACATACATGAAAGAAACTTCATTCTCAAATTCTGGAAACAAAAAGTTCTCAAGTTAATGACACATTTATTTTTGTTTCATATCATTTTATTAATTTGTATGAAGATTATAATATCCTAGCCGGGTGTGGTGGGGAACACCTGTAATTCCAGCACTCAGGAGGCTGAGGCAGGAGCACCACCTCTAGTTCGAGGCCCCCTGGACTACATGGCGAGACTCTGTGTCAAAAAGGAAAAAAAAAAATTACAATACTCTAAAAATACTACAGGTTAAGATGGTAGATGCCTGTGTCCATTTGAATTTTTGAAAGGAATGTACAGTAAGCAGTATAATGATAACTTGTCTGAATCTTGTCCAAACTGCAGATTTTCTACATATGAGGAATTTTATCAAGTCTTTGTAAATAGGGAGAGGTGGAGGGGTTGAAGGGAGGGCAGGGAAATGGGGAAAAAAATAAGAACCCAAGATATATCATGTAAAGGTACAAATTCCCAATGAGGAATGTCACCATATTGTAACCCTAAAATGTACCGATAAACTTAATGAATAAAAAAATAATTTTACCATATTGAACATACTATTGTAATAATACTACACTTCTGGTGGTAGTATAAAAACCATTGTGCTGCACACTAATAACCTTTATCCATTATTTTCAATGGATACCCGAGAATGTCTCTGGAGAAGGAACCAAAGGGACTGGGAGCTATAGAAGAGCAAAGAAAATTCTTTTAATTGTGTGCGCTTCCAAAATTTTTACCATGTACATGCAGTATCAATTAAAAATAAACACTATTTTTAAATAAAAACTTATTTGCCTCTACTATCTCTGAAAATACAAGACGGTGGCAACAATAACTCCCTCTAGGGCTGGGGATTTAGCGCAATGGCACCGTGCCTCCCCCCCTCAACGTCCTGAGTTTGATCCCCAGTACCAAAAAAACCCTTTTTTTGTAGTAGCATGCAATATTCCTGACAATTTCTCTTTGCTTTTTGTTGGGGAGGTGGGGTAGTACTTGGAATTGAACCTAGGACTTCTGCACTGAGCTACAGCCCCAGCCTTTTATTTTTTATTTTGACAGGGTCTCCCTGAGTCATTAAGTTGCCCCTACCAGGCTCAAACTTACCATCCTCCTGCCTCAGCCTCCCAGAGTGCAGGATAACAGGTGTGCACCACCATCCCTGACTTTACTTTTTAAATTATAGGTTACTTATATTTCATATTCTGTGAACCTAACAAAATAACAAAATGTTCAAGGAAGAAATCATGAATTTACATAAAATCATTACCTCAAAACATTTTCCAGTAGTTTAAAATTGTAGAGGGAGGAATGCTTTGTACTACAATAGATACAACCTGTCTCATTAGCTATAAAATAGGGAGTAGTGTTTCTAAATCAAGATTTTCCATCAGATACCATTTTTAACGTTGGAATACAGCAAGAAATTTTTTTGAAATTTTATACTCTGTGCTAATGAACAAAACTAATTGCTTGCTATTCAATTATGTAAAGCAGGAGTGTTCATGTACCTTTCTACAGTGAATAAATATAAAAATTCCTCAGATCATTTCAGTGTAACTTTTATTAGCTAAAAACCAATGGTATTCAGGGCTGGGGATGTAGCTCAGCAGTGCAGCACCTGCCTGGCAAGTTCGAGGCCCTGTGTTCAATTCTTCCAAAAAATCAAAGGTATTCAGCACTCTAGGAGGCTAAGGCAGGAAGAGCTAACTTTGAGCCCAACCTGAGCAACTTACTGAGATACTGTATAGGGCTAGGGATTTAGCTCAGTGGTTCCGGCACCTAGCTCAAAAGCCCAAGGTCCCCCCAGGAACCAAAAAAAAAAAAAAAAAAAAAAACTATATCAAAAATTTAAATATATATATGTATATATATACATTATATATAGTGGGTGTGGTGGTGCACACCTGAAATCTCAGCACTCAGGAGATCGAGGCCAGTCTAGGCTACATATTGAGTTCAAAGCCAGCCTGAACTACACAACTAAATAAAATATATAAATGACTGGGGATATATCTCAGTGCAAAGGCCCTGGGTTCCATTCCCAGAACCTCAAAATAAATTAATTAAATAAAATAGAGTTTTAAAAAGGGATTTGGCATTTAGGGTAATTCCATTACAATGCTTCCGAAACCAATAAGACTTACTCATAAAATTTAAGAGTTAGAAAAGGCTGTATGGATAACTTAGTTCAACCCTTCATTTTACAGATACATAAAGTAAAGTCTAAAAAGGTTAACTTAATCTCTCATAACCAATATATGGAAATAAACCATAATTAATTACAGCCTACATGTTCTACTTCCCTAATCTGACTGCTTTCAAGTCTTGCCACTAACAAGACATAAATATAGTTACCGAGATTGCCCTTCAAATTTATTTCTTGGCTCTATGTTTTAAATAATTAAGTATATCAATTACACATAAATTAATTTCTGTAATAGTAGACAGAAATGCTCATTATTTAATAAAGGGAAACAGGAATAAGTCTTTAAAATTATTTTAATATAAATGTACATACAAATAAATACACAAATAACAAGACAGATCATTCACCATTTTCTAAGACTCAAATTTTGACACAAACACATGGGCAAATACAGCAAAATATCAATGAACATACTTCCATACACATTTATGCATAAATACCAGAATTCAAAGTGACATGTGCCCATATAATAGATGGTTACAGACAGATGCATGGATGTTAAGCTCAGTCAGAAACTGCCAGGCAGAAACAGGGATCTATGAAATAATGTTGTGACCTTTTCATCAGTGGTGAAAATTCAACAGTACATATAAAAACTGAGATTAACAAAATGCTCATGCTTTAAATAACAGAAACAAAGAAACTAGACACTAAAGGCACCCCCACCCCCAACTACCACTGAATTTCTTGTAACTTGAAGAAGTGGAGACAACTTCAAAGACTTGATAGCTCAGAGACAATGATGGTTTCTATCCAGCATAAAGATTATATGATAATTGAAACTGCTGAAGGCAAACACAGACATTCTGTAAAGTGTTAAATTCTTTTTACTTTGAAGGCTCTGCTAGATACTTGCTGCTGCTCTAATTCATGACTTTGAGAGGCAAAACTAAAAAAGCTGTTGCTGGGCTCAGGTGCTGTGGGAGAACCCACAAAAAATGGTCTGAACTGAAAATCTTCATCTCCACCACCCCGATTTCCAACTGGGGTATTGTCCAAAGGAAACTTGGAATTGTTCCCTAGGGAAAAAAAATTAATGAAGAACATAAACATTATTTCCTTATAAATTTTTAAGAATGAAAAGATGAAAGCCATTCAAAAAATATTTTAACAGAATTCAACTCATATAAGATGGATAAAATGCAATCCAAACACTAGACAAAGAGGACTAGAACGTCTTCTATCCTCTCCCTGACAACACCACCATATATACTCTGCCACATTTTGTAATGCAGTTTCCAATGATAGCCATTCTCTCATCACCAAAACTAACTTGACAAAATGAAATCTTTTTGGTAAAGCAAGGATTTATGGTATCATTATTTTATTCATTTCTTGTCTAACCCACTTCAGAGAAAGCATAAATACACACACACACACACACACACACACACACACACATAATCTTTTTTTTTAAGAGTAGGAAAACTTTATTGGAAGAAAGCTTCTGCCTAAGAGACAGAAGGGGGACCAGAAAGTGGGTTGCCTGCCCATCCCTCCTTTTTAAAGATGTTTTATACAACAAAGCCATGTGGTGGGTGGGTCAAAACTATAAGATACAATGGAAATTTACAAGGTGGGCATGAGATGGGACAAAACCATGACCAATCAATAAGATTACAAGTACAGTCACCCAGGTAAAATTGATTAAGTGGGGGTTGAATAGGGGAGCAAGTCACATAGCAAGCATACAAGGATTTTCAGTAAGGGTGGGTCAGGGATATTTCCCAGAAAGGCTGGGTTAAAACCTTGCCCCCCCACCAGGTGATGGATACCTATTTGGAATATCATTCACTGCTATTCATCCTACATGGGTGTGGTAGTTTCTCTCTTTTAACCATGCTGGCCTTCAGTTAACGTACACATAATCTTTGTCCTGGTTTCTTCAAGAACATTTTTTAAATTTTTTAATATACACTGTCAAAAATATATGACAATGGGCCAGGGATGTAGCTCAGTGGCACAGCGCCTGCCTAGCAAGCATGAGGCCCTGAGTTCAATTCTCATAACAAAACAAAAACAAACAAATATATATATGTACATATATGACAACTATGAAATACTGGCATACATCCATGACCCAATACCAAAGGCTTAAGAAAAATCAATCAGACAACAGATCTAATTAAATGAACACTTAAACACTTTCACTGAACCTTTCTTGGCTTTTACATGCTTTGAAGAGAATTGGTAGGTAAAAAAGAGAAATGCCAACTGTATCTGCTTCAGGCTAACAGTGGCAGCAAGAGGCAAAAAGAAGAGCATGCAAAAGAAAAGAAAAGAGGAACAGCAAGAACCAGTGGATATAAAAGAAGTCAAAATAAATGTGGAGAGTTAAAAAAATCCACAATGTTCTTTTACAATAACAATCAAATTACAATATATAAGTAACTGAAAGGCAGAAACTTGTTTTTGTTTTAATTCTTGCAACAGATATCCCTCATCTTATCACCTCATATCTTTTCTAGGACATCATCTCCTTTCCCACTGTATCTTTTTCCTCAGCCTATAATCAATATTTTTTATATGAGAACTTAGGTAAGTCTAGTATAAAAAGTTTCACTTTTTTTAATGCAAAAAGCAATTTATACTAACAACATAAGAAAAGTCCACTGAATTCTGTTGCATCAGGGAGTAGTATAGAGGAGAAAATTCAGGAAGGAAAAGATACATTTGATCTGCAAGGCACCTAACAAGCATCTTAGAAGGGCAATAATGCTATCTGGATAATCTTTTATAGCCTCATTGCTTAGAATCATGCCTAAAAGCCTGGCACACAAAACATATTTGGTAAGAATTTGACGAATGGACAAAAGCATAAATGAAAGAATGAACCAACCAAACTCACAATAATTTAAGAACTGTGAAATCAGTATTGGTTTGTGAAAAAAAATGAAACACAGCCTTCCTGGAGGATGGCAAATGGTTAAGCATATAGGCTCCGTGATCAGAACCTAGTGACAATAATTGTACTCACCTCTCAGAGTTTTGCAAATTACTTGAATAATAGTGCTTACTAGTTAGTAAGGAATCAATAAATAGCTAATATATTTCTTAATGCAACAAAATAGCTGGGGGTTCTTTGGTACTGGGGATCAAACTCAGGACCTTGCACTTGCAAGGCAGGCGAGGCAGGCGGCAGAACCACTAAGCTAAATCCCCAGCCTGCAACAAAATAGCTTTTAATTTAAAGTGTAACTCTCAAACTTTAATTTTCAGAGGTAAACTTTGCTCAAATTAAAGGTGTAACTTAAATGTAAGCAAATACAATAGATAAAGGAAGTGACATATAGGTTAAAACATGCTAATCCAGAGCTTACCGTGACTCCGCCTTTGGAGTCTCCATTAACTGCATGGACCTATGTAGAACACAATGTGAGAAATCATTGATTTGAAGAACAGATATTGGATATCACATGTCCTTTCTTACCTAACGGAAAACCAAAAACACCAGCCTGTGTAATCACAGATGGTTCAAGGTTGCTTTCTTGGTTAGCAATAGTGATATTTCGAAGCCTAAGACTATCATAAAGGCCTTGGAGCTTTTGATACTGGCGATTGCGTTCCATAAGTTTCTCTGAGATATCACTGAACTTTTTCTTGTATTCTTCTAGCACCTTTTTCATGGAAGTGACCTCGCCTTTCATAGAGGTCAATTCCACATCCTTGCTCTGTATTTGCTGAGTATATATTTTCTCCATCTGTTTCAGATGGCCCTCAGCCTTGCTGAAATTGTATTCTTGATAGAGACGTTCCTGATGTACCTGTCCCAATTAAAAAAGAAATATTTTTAGGACAAAGATTAAAAGTTACATGTTAACAAAACTTCATACAAACACAAAGGAACAGGCGTTTATACAGGGCCTATTTTGTGGGGGTTATTTTCTTTCTTTTTCTTTTCTTTTTTTGCAGTACTGCAGATTAAAGCCAGGACCTTTGCACTGAGCTATATTACCAGTTCCTTTTTATTTTTTTATTTGGAAACAAGGTCTTACAAAGTCACCAAATTGCCCAGGCTGAGCTCAAACTTGCAATCTTCCTGCCTCAGCCTCCAGAGTGCTGAAATTACAGGCATGTACCAACATGCCCAGTGTTTTAGTAAGGTACATGTAGAGAACTGTTACAAATTGGGGAGGGGACTATAGCAAATGAAATAAGCTGAAACAGGAAACCTATAAAAGAAATACATGCAAGAAAATATATTCATCTAAGCCATCAAATAAGCTGCACATGGTTGCACATGCCTGTAATACTAGAATTTGGGAGGCTGAGGAAGGATCATTGCTGCAAATTCGAGGCCAGCCTTGGCTACATAGCGAGTTCAAGACCAACCTGAACTACATAACAAGACCTTGTCTCAAAAAATCCTAAAAAATATATAAAATAAATCATCAAATAAATGCATAAAGAACAAGAGTCTATTTTACCTTCATCTAACTCATTTAAAATGTGGATAACTAAGCACCTTATACATTTCTTGAGAACAAACAAATGGATATGCCTTACTGGAGAATAATTTTTAAATATAACAACTGAGTGTTCAAAATGCACTAGGCATTAGGGCTGGGGATGTAGCTCAGTGGTGCTATGGCGGGGAGATGCACTAGGCATGCAGTGCACCCCTTTAATCCTAGGTACTCAGAATGTTGAAGCAGGAAGACAGCAGGTCAAAGGCCAGCCTGGGACAATTTGGTGAGACCCTGTCTCAAAATAAAAAATTTTAAAAAGGCTGAGGATGTAGCCCAGTAGTGAAGCACTTGCTTAGCACACACAAGGCTCTAGGTTCAAACCCCAGTAACAACCCCCCCCAAAAAAAGCCTTCAAAATGTATTCGTCTCCTTTTCGCAATTTAATCTTAGCAAATAACAAAAAATATGAATTGATAAGAATGCTCATCACATCATTTTTAATAACTTAGCAACAAATTATGATCATTTCAGCCATTAGAATTATGATTATAGAATAGTTAACCGAAAGTACTTAACAAAATATTCATAAGACATAACATATTGCCAACCTTATTTACTTATTTGTGTGGTATGTATGTGTGTGTGTGGGAGGTAGTGCTGGGAATCAAACCCAAGGCTTTATGCATGCTAGGCACATGCTGTACCACTAGGCTATATCCCTAGCACTGTCAATGCTCTTTCCTTCTTTTTGGTTTTTGAGACATACTATTCACTATGTAGCCCAGGCCGACTTCAAACTCATGGCAATCCTCCTGCCTCAGCCTCCCAAGTGCTGAGATGACAGCTGTACACCACCCTGCCCAGCATTTGTCAATTTTAGCTGGTCATAAAATTCATGTATAGTATTATCCTATTTGCCAATTTTAACTGGTCATAAAATCCATATGTATTATCCTATTTTTGTACAAAAATATATATTTATGCACAAACAAAAATATCAACAATGGGCTGCTTACTTGGGCAGCACATATACTAAAACTGGAACAGTACAGAGAAGATTAACATGGCCCCTGCACAAGGATGACACACAATTCATGAAATGCTTCAATTTTTAAAAATATATATCAACAATAGGTATCTCTGAGTGACAGAATTCTGGAGTTTTTCAAAAGTTTCCTTCCTTTTGGATTTTCAACAACAAATACTACATCTGAAAAATGAAAACCATTTATTAAAAAGAAAGTTTTCCATATGGTCATAAAAAGAAATATAAAATAGTGAAGGAAAAACACTACGAATTCCCACACAGGCTTATATTCTCAGTGAGAAACCACTCTAAGCACTAACCTGGTATGTCCAGAAGGCCAATGCACGGGAGCTAATGTCCAACACAATCTCTGGCCGAAGCCCTGCCAATACCATAGCTTTATATTCCTCTGATGGACTGAGTTCTGTGCGGACAATATCTAGTTTACCAGAAAGGGTACTGTTGCAAGCAGGACAGACAGCAGGTGAACGACTAAACTCACCGCTGCCGTGCTGATCACAGAAGATGTGAGAGCAGGCAGTGACCCACGCATAACCAGACAGTTTGATCCGACACTTTCGATAATTACAACGGAGCATGTCTTCACATAAAGACATGATAATGAGGTCTCCAGATGCTTAAGAGACCTAATAAAAAGTAAATGAAATGGGAAATAAGTCAAACTGCAATGACAAGTAAGCAAACAAAAATTATGCTTTATTTTATTTTGATAAAATAATGTATATTTTATTATGTTTTCATTATTTATTATAATCACTATTATTACACTGATTTCACTCTCTCAACAATATTGTGCTTTGGCCTGCTTCCTGAGTTCAAGAAAATAACACAATAGTTCAAATAAAATATTTGGTGGGGGGGCACAGGGGAATGCACAGCCGCTGCAGAAACTCCACTACCTTTGCACAATGGCCATAAAAAAATTTTAAGGAAAAGTTAAATGCACAGGTTGTTCTAAATCTTGCTATAGTAAAAAACAATACGCATATGGAAAAAAGTTTAGGAATATTTATAAAGTACAAACAAGTAAACATTAAACCAGTAACTTTTACCATTTCAATGCATAAAAGCCTAAATTTATTAACCATTCATACTTTGCTAGAGTATTTTACTACCACACACACTTAGAAAACATAATAATCTAAGAATGATTTCTGCCATTTTTCAATGTAAACTACATTTTTGAGTTTTCCAAAGCTGATTTCTCAAATTCTTTACCTATCTGGCCTTAATTTAAAAACACTAGCTGCCTGGACTGGGGATTTAGCTCAGTGGTTTCACCACCTGCTGCGCAAGTGTAAGGACCCGAGTCCGATCACCGGTACCAAAAAAAAAAAAAAGAACTAAAAACACTAGCTGCCTGTCTGTGAGCATTACACAGGAACAATCTATCCCGGTAACTGACAATTATAACATCTTAAAATCTCCATAAAAGCTTCTTTGGTGTAAACTCTTTTATCATCCATTAAACAATTCATCTATTAATGTAAATATGACTCAGTGCCATGCTTTGATTTAAAATACTTGTAAAAGTAGATTCTCTAAGTTAAGTCACTTTTCAAGTGTCCACTCTCACTGGAGTTTTACTAAACCAAAAATGGGCACTGATATTCTGAGCATACCAAAACAAGTCATATATTTCATAAAATAACACTATCACATCAATTATATATCGAGCAAAACTGTGCATTTATCAACCCAAGCATGTTGCCTTGGTCATAGGAACAGAGACGCTCTGACACTCAAATGTTATCACTGAGTTTCCACAAATAAATCTCACCTGGCCACGAAAGTTAATGAGGTCTATTTTATCTCCAGCAGGGTAATGGGCATAGGAAAAACAGAGGAGTAAGGAAAAATTTCGAAGCTGAGACCCTTCCCAAACAGAGAAAGAGGTGCACCTAATCTCAAATTTTCCACAAGGTAGGGAAAGAGCCAGTTTAGTGGGTTATAAGTCAAGGCCCTATTTTAAGAATTAGAACAACAGAAAATTAGAATGTCAGAAAAACCTGAAATTTTCGGCCTGCTTTCTGACCTCAACAAATAACACAATAATTCAAATAAAATATTTGGCCTGAGCGGGCAAATAAATAGATAATGAAAAAACATAGGAATTCTTAGCTGCCACCAAAACTCCACTACCTGCAAGGATTCCGGGCCCGTGGACACGGACACCGACAACGTGTCAGAGAGCGCATGGGCAGAGCAGTCCGAGGCCTGCTGGGAATGGGCCACTAAGGATCCTGGGACCAAGAAAGGCGCAGGCGCAATGGATAATTTCACGCGACTGGGGCTTTTCCCCGGGTGCAGACGCGGCTGAGTGGAGAGGTGTCCCACTTTTGAGCCCTACAGACCCTGCTGATGAGAAGTTATAACTAACTGCCCTGGAGTGGCACAAGTGTAACATCTTCCTATTGAGGAGAAAGTCTTAATTCGGGCAGAGCAGGGCGAGTAGCAGAGCTGGCTTGAGCTCCAGCACCTCGTACATGGAAATATGTGTTCAAGAAAAATGCTGGGAATCACAGGCAGGCAGCACAGGCTTTTTAAATTTCGGAAAGAATTCGCTGAAAATGGATCATGCCTGTAATTGGACAGCTGTTACTTCTATACTGAGGTAGATTATGCCATTTTACTTTTATCCTTGGAAAAGACACCTTTTCAGTTTTTACATACCCTCTAAATACATTTTTTTTTTTCCGGTACTGGGGATCGAACTCGGGACCTTGCCCTTGTGAGGCAGGCCCCGAAACCACTGAGCTAAATCCCTGGCCCTTAAATACATTTAAAGAACTTGTAACTTTTTCTTGAGCCGGCATCTCAAACATTGATGTGAGCCCGGGATGTAGCTCAGGCGCGAAGCCCTAAATTCGATTCTCGGTACAGAAACAGAGAGAGGGGAAGGGGAGGGGGGAGAGAGAAATACTGATAATAGAGGCTTTGTCCCTATTGAGGTAATATGCTATTGTCCCTCTTGGAACTGGTGGTAGTGTTTAAGTGGTTGTACCTCTTTTACTATAATGCTGTCACTTATCTGCTATTTTATGCATACCCATAGCAACTGTGTAACTTTTCTGCTTAAACTATGTGAATTTGTTAGATTCACACACCTCACACACACACACATAACTGAACCCAGAGCCTGGTACATGCTAGGCAAAGTGCCCTGCCACTGAACTACATCCAGACTTTTTTTTGGAGACACAGTTTCAGTAAATTGGCCAATTTGGGCTCCCACTTTCGATCTTCCTACCTCAGCCTCCTGAGTAGCTAGGATTACAGCTTTGTGCCATCACACCCAGATAGACTTGTTAGAGTTGATATTAAAATTAAACTGAGGCAGAGGGCTATGAGGGTGCTCAGGATGCAAACCTTAAAAGCCACTTTTTCAAATGATGTTACCCCATTGTGAATTAGTAACAAGCCAGACATGGTGGTGCACGCCTGTAATCCCAGCACTCGGGAGGCAGAGGCCTGCCTGCAATACAAAGTGAGACCCTGTCCCAAAAAACAAAAATAGTAACAGATACACTCAATCACACAATGGGCACAAAACCCTGAAAATTCTTTTCTGAGTTGTGAATTCATGATACCCATTTTCTTTTCAACAAAAACCTGTTCTAATTAAGCAGTTTTCTGCTACTGACTTAATTCTGGGACTAACTGGAGCCACAGAAAACTGGAGGTTCATGTGTAAATCATGCTCCCTAACATCTGTTTTGGCACACTGAACCATTTGTGCATTTTCTGGTTTTAACTGCACCAAATGCAGAAATATTAAAGTACAAAAAAGTGCGATCATTTTCAAGTGCAATCTTTGTTCAAGAAGACAAAATATTCAAATATCAACCAATACCTAACCTTGTGTCCCTAATCAAGTCACCTTGGTAACCCCTGAAAATGTCCAAATTAATAATACTTTGCATTAATTCATTTTAACAGCCATATACTGCAAATGTACAATTCACTTATCCTTTCTTCTAACAGGCATTGGTTTCATGTTTTTACACTTAAAACAGTACTGCCCTGAACTTTCTGTACATGTCTCCTTGAGTACATATGCCAAGTGTTCCTACAGAATACAATACCTAGGAATTGGGTTAATGTGTAAGTATCTTCAGATAAACTAAATGTTGCCCTGTTCAGAGTAATAATATAGATTTCACTGCCACCAGCAAAGTATATGAGAACCCACTCCTTTAGACTCAGCAACATGCAGAACTGTCAAGATTTCCCTTGCCCTTGTTTTCACGTGTCCATCTGATGACAATGAAATAGTATTTCAATGTTGTTTTAATGTGTAATTCTTTGATTACTTGTATTTTTGATTACTTTGATTTTTTTCATGCAAATGACTACATAGGAATCCTCATCTGTTCATATCCTTTGATATTTTCTTTGTATGGAATCATTGGTAAGATGGCATGCAAACATTGTTTGAATTTTAGTGCACATAAATTTATCAACTTTTCCTTTTTGAGTTTATGTCTACTCCATGACTTTTTTTTTTATGATGGTGGTGGTGGTTCTGGGGATTGAATTCCACACTTTTGTACTGAGCTACATCCCTTGCCCTTTTTTTTCTTTTTTGAGACAGGGCCTTGCTAAGTTGCTCAGGTAGCCTCAAACTTGTGATCCTTCTACCTCCAAGAGTAATTACAGGTATGCATGAATGTACCCAGCTCAAGGTCTTATTCCAGGCTTCAAAGGTTTTAAGGTTTTGTCTTTTATATACAGATGTTTTTTGTTCATCTTTCCCAACATAAGGAGTGTGAATAACAATAAAAATGATGCAGGAAAAAGTGACTACAACATTCAAGAAAGCAAACATTCCAACCTCAGTCTTTGATGGAAATGGTAGTCTAGTTACATTTCTAGGTTATCATTAACATGCAAGGAGTAAATATACATCAACATATTGAAAATGGTGTATTTCATCTGCTTTTAGAATGAGGTTTAATAGTTAATATTGATTATACAAAAGAAAATGACCAACTACAAAGGTAAAATTTTTCATAATAGCACCAAGAGTGTGGCTTAGTAGTGTGCATGCTTAGCATGCTTGTGGTCCTGGGTTCAATCCCAACACCAAAAAACAAACAAAAACTCTCATAATAATAAAATTATAAATAAGAAAAAGTTTTCATGAGAATCTATTTACAAACACAAACTATGTAAGTGAGAAATAGATATATAAAAACTTCCTGGTAGGGCTGGGGATTTAGCTCAGTGGCACTGTGTCTGTCTGAAAAGCACAAGGTCCTGAGTTTGATTCCCGGTACCAAGAGGAGAAAAAAACTTACTGATATTTAATAGAAAACTTATTATGGACATTTCACATATACTGTATAGTTATTCTTCAATGCCTCCTACAGAATCAAGTATCACATCACATATTAAGAGATTGAAGACTTATGAGTATTCAATTTAATATACTTACATACATTGTACATCAGTCTAAGTCCCAGTTATTCCATGTGAATGTCTTATTGAAAAACCATTAAAATGTTTGCCATTTCCAGAGATTTAAAAATATATATATATCTATATATATATGGAGATTTCATTACCATTCACTTCAAATATTTTTGAGTATCCTAGGCCACACATAAGAGAAATAGAAGGTACT